ATTGGTTGCAGATACAAACCTTCTACAACGGTTTGAATGGTCAGACACGGATAGCGGTAGATTCTGCAGCAGGGAGTGCATTATTATCCAAAACTCCAAATGAAGCTTATGCATTATTGGATGAGATAGCTACTAATAGCTATCATTGGTCGAGTGAGCGTTTGAGTGCAAAGAAAGTTGCTGGCCTTTATGAAGTGGATCCTATTATCGCCCTTGCAACTCAAATGTCATCTCTCACTAATCAAATAGCTGCATTGACTTCACATGGATCACATAAGAAATCAGAATCTATTATGGCTACATCCACTGCATACCAAAATGTTGAAAGGGAGAATGAACAATTTCAGTATGTGAACGATCGGAATTTCAATCAAAAGGGAAACTACTCAGGAAATAACTACTATCAGGGGTTCAATAATCAAGCGTTTGAGCAAAAGCCATCACTGGAAGATATTTTAGGAACCTTCATTTCGGAGACCAGATCGAGGTTCAACAAAATGAGGCAAGACTTGACAACATTAAGACACATATGACCAACTTAGGAGCTACAGTGAAGAATTTGGAGGTACATATTGGTCAGATAGCAACTGCAATACAGTCTCAGCAAAAAGGACAATTTTCCAATGACACAGAGGTTAACCCACGAGAACACTGCAATGCTATCACCCTAAGGAGTGGTAAAGCAGTTGAAGAATGCAAGCTTAGAGAGGTTGGGGTACCTACATCGGATCCCATACTTGCAAGGGAAAAGTAGACTGAAGGGTAGAAAACTGAGGCAGAGGCAACAAAGAACATTTATAAGCCTTACTCAATTTCATCTCCGGACAACCCACCTATCTTGAAGCCTCTACTACCATTCCCGTAGAGGTATTTGAAGAAAGAGTTTGATGAAAAATACGCAATGTTTCTGGAGGTCTTCAAGAAAATCCACATCAACATTCCCTTTGTAGAAGCCTTGGCCCATATGCCTAACTTTGCCAAGTTCTTAAAGGAAGTGATGTCAAAGAAGAGAAAGTTGGAGGAATTTGTGACTGTTAAGCTGACAGAGGAGTGTAGTGCCATACTTCAAATGAAGCTCCCTCACAAATTGAAAGATCCGGGCAGCTTCAACATCCCATGCAATATTGGTTGTATCACATTTGAGAGGGCACTATGTGATCTTGGAGCTAGCATAAACTTGATGCCTTTATCAGTGTTCAAAAAGCTGGGTCTTGGAGAATTGAATCCCACAACCCTTACCTTGCAACTGGCGAACAAATCGCTCACATATCCCAAAGGCATTATTGAAGATGTGTTGGTGAAGGTTGATAAGTTCATCTCTCCAGTGGACTTTGTGGTATTGGACATGTATGAGGATGAGAAAGTACCGTTGATTCTTGGCCGACCTTTCCTGGCTACTGGAAGAGCATTGATTGATGTACAAGAAGGAAAGTTGATACTACGAGTTAATGAAGAGCAAGTAACTTTCAACATCTATCAAGAAAAGAAAGCCCTAGAAAAAGGAAAAGTTGACACTTGCAAAATGATCCAATTAGCTGAAGTAATTGCAGGAAACGGAGAAAAATGGGAATTATTTTATGATCCGTTGGTGCAATACATAGAAATTAGTTACTCAACAAGGGATGCATCTACTGATGGTAATGACTCAAGAATGAAGAAAGCAGTGGATTTCATCTTAGCTTAAGAAGCTGACACACCTGACAAAAAAAAGAGCTATGTAGATAGGCCTTTGAAACTTCCAAACATTGCCAAACCAAAAGAGGTCTTGAAGGCCATACCAAGGTCAAAACAACCTAAGTTTGTTCACCATCTTACAATGAAGGAAAATACAAAGCCGAAGATAAAGTTCAGAAACAAGAGAAATGTGCCACCTAAGGATCCACCGTAGGCGTTGCGGTTGACTCAAGCTAGTGACTATAAAGAAGCGCTTCTTGGGAGGCAACCCAAGCGTTCTTACCTTTTCACTCATTTTATTTTATTTTTATTTTTTTTAAAATTATAGGAGAGTTTATTTCATTTCATATTTTTTTTATTTAGGAATTCATCAGCCCTGCCTCGTCTCTCTTAGGTCTTTGAGCAGTCAAGTTAGTTATTAGATGTTCGAGCTAAGTAACACTTGTTTCATGAATTTAATATCTACATTTTGAATTTTCAGAAACTTGACGTCGTGGAACAATCAAACCAATTGACGAAGAGTGACTAGATAAATATCAAGTTTGGGGAAGAAACTAGAAGAAGTATCAATCAAGTCCAGCATCATAGCACCAGACCATCATTGGCAATTCAGACAATTCAAGGAAGTTTTCATCCTTTTCTTTTAATTTAACACTGGGGACAATGTTTAGTTTAAGTTTGGGGGTGTATCATAAGTTTTCTAATTGCCTACATATTTTTTTATTATTTTGTGTATCTTGTGTGATTTGTGTGCATTTTTTTTTTAATTTTCTTATTAGTGTGCACTGTTAAAAAAAATTGCATTTTGTATGCTTGTGTGAGTTAGATAGCCTTACCGATATTGATTTGTATAATTGAGAACATGTGTTGATTTATGAATTGTCAATAAGTTATGTGCTTGAGTTAGATTTTTGCTTATTCGTGTGAAACAAAAATTATTTTTGCACGTGAGTTGATTGTAGTGTTGTACATGAGTGGGTTGATTCACGTTTATATGTTAGATTAGAGAACTTAGATGCAAAACCCAAACAACCATAAAACATTATTATACCCTTAAACCAAATATAGGATGTTTGGATGATTGCACCGCTGTAGGAAAACTTGGAGATACGTGTGGATTCCGTGTGTGCTAATTTTCGTGTGGACTGTCTGAGACTAATATGATGAAAATTGGGTGAAAATCTTAAGTTAGAGGTCAATTTTTAAGAATATGTGTTTAATAAGGGGCATTGCACTAATCACTACAAAAAAAAAAGATCCCAATGATGACAATCATAATAATCTCATTGTGAATCGTCTCTTTGTAGCTTTTATGACTTGAGTGATTAAGCCTGCAACTATTTAAAACCTGATGCCCTATAGTCATCTGATTTGGGAGTCATCAGCCTAAAGCTCGTTATAAGGGTCATTTAGAAAGTTTAATGTAGAGACGTCTGCACAAAGGATGATTAAAGAATAAATTTATATTGAAAAAAATAGACATCACATGCATTGATTAAGCCCTAAACACTTGTTTGAGAGGATTAGGCTTTTGACAAGAGTTTAAGTAACTCGGTTGATTCTAGGAAATTGAAGCAGTCAAAAATAAGGAAAATCCTCATTTATTGATAAGTTGAATTACAATTAGTAAAATCTAACCAAACTTGAGCGGTGTAAGAAACTAATATTGAAAATCAACCTTAGATTACACCATTGGAAAGAGAAAAGAAAACAAGTTTGGGGGTGTGTGAATC